ATTCAAACCCACCACCTTAGGTGTACGTGGCTGGTGCCTTAGCCACTTGAGCCATAGGCACCAAGCCAGCCTCATTTCTTACCAAGACTAAACTGGAGAGAGAATCCACAGATATTAACCATCATTACCACTAGTATTTTTGGCTTGTCATTTTAGAATTTGGTTCTTAGAACTATGATGTAGGATGGTACTATTTCTCATCTCACTAAAAAGAAAGACCATCAAGTGTCAAAACATTTATGTTAATGGGTTATGAGTTTAGTTTTTTTTAACAATTGCTATGCAGGAGAGTGACTTTTCCAAATCATGAATGTTTTAAGTGCTTAAACTCAGTCGGCAAATCTCCGTTGGGTACTTAACATCTCTTAGGGCAGGCGTGGTGGTTCACACCTGTGATCCCAGCACTCTAAGAGCCAACTTGGTGGATTGCTTGAGCTCAGGAGTTCAAGACCTTCCTGCCTGAGCAAAAGCAAGACCCTGTCTCTAAAAATTAGAAAAATTAGCCAGGTGTTGTGGCAGGTGCCTATGGTCCCAGCTATTTAGGAATATCACCTGAGCTGAGGAGTTTAAGGTTGCTGTGAGTTATGATGCACTGTATCCAGGGTGACAGAGTGAAACTCGTCTCAAAAAAAAAAAAAAAAAAATAGAGGAGAGGCTCTCCATTTAGCCCACCCTATTCTGTTCAGGCATGCTGGGATTAACTTGGACCTAAACCTTTTTATAAAACGTTTTGCTTGTCTCCAGTTACATGTTTGACCAGGCCATGCAATCTGTTGGCCTGGCTAGGTGTTTACAGAGAACTAAAACTCTTTCTCCTGTTTCAGCTCAATGGACAAGACAAATAGGAGGGTGATGACTGCCCCACGTGCAAGAAATAGTGACACAGGAGAGGTCCACACCTCATTTCAGATGTGACCTCATGCTTGAAGACAGCTTGGGCAGATTTACAAGTATTGGCTACTGAAGCAGGACATGCACTCTCAGGAATGGGTGTGAGGCCATCCATGCTGTGAGGAGGGTATACGCACACTTGGTGCCACCTGACACACAGGAACTGTTTGCTGTGTCCAACTCTTCATTCTGCTTTTCATGCAGGATGTTTTCTTGTGACAGTGATCCCTCTTGGACTAAAACAGAGTGGACTTTTTCATAGGTCAGATGTGCTTTTTCTGTGCTAGGGTCACCGTCCAAAGGGCAGGCTCAGCAGCCCCAGGGGGTAGAAGAGCCAGGCTGTAGATCTGGGTCCTAGGGTCTTTTAGTTAGATGATGTTTTTGGCATGAATATGGAAGGGGAACCTTGAGGTACATGGGTGTCTCATACTACTTGAAGAGTCTGAGGAAGGGGAGCATTTGTCTCTGAATTCACCCTGGATATGGCAGCACTTTCTTTTCCACACTAGCTCTCCTCTCTGAAGGGCATCATATCCTGTTGTTCAACCTTTCCTTGGGAAACTATGTTCCAGAACATTCTACCACATCCTAGCCTGTCTCTTGTCCTCATGCTGTCACCTACCAGGGCCTCTTCCAGTGGTGCTGCTAGAGTTAATCTCTAGGAGATGGAAACACTACTCACCTAAGACCATGCTGGCTCCTGGCATCTTGTCAGACTGCTCTCACCCATGCTCAGGCCACTGGGATGTGTGAGCAGAGCTTGCTTTTTCTCCTAGGGTCGTAGCAAGGCCCAGCACCAGTAGCTGACCCCTCCAGCACTGACTACTTCCCCTTCACCACCTACCCATGTGTACATCCTCCTTCCTGGCATCCTGGTTGGCTTGGTGTTTCCTGGGGCAAATGCTTCTCCTGTCCCTGAACCTGGCCTTGCCTGGTGCTGACAGAATAGATTTAACTATTAAGACTCCATGGAAAGGGGTCCCATGACCTTGTCTTTCATTGAGTGGTGACCTAGGAAACAGACTACTACAAAGAATGAAATTAGTTCTGTTCTACTTAATGTTTCCCTACTTGTTATTTTACATGTATATTCACACTCATTCTTACCTTATACTCTTTATTCCACAATGATGTTTCTGTGGCTACTTGTGGTGCACAATAGAAACCTCAATGATGTTTGCACAAGGGGCATTTTCCTTCATTCGAAGTATTCATAGTCTAAGCCAGGAGGGATTGAGATTTAATTGCCACAACCAGCAAGAGCCCAGGCGCTGTGGATACAACAGTGGGTGGCTAAGCCAGGACCAGGGAGAATGTGGAAGAGGCACTAGCCCTGCGCTGGGGACAGAAACAACAGAGCACACCTTGGAATTATGTGTGAGACATTTGTCTATAAAATTCTAGCAGCTTCTTTTCCCTTTTAAAATGAAACACATGCCTCAACATGCTGGCTCTGGGCTAGCACTCCAATCTCAGCCTGAGTGTACACTAAGCCCCTGCCCTCTTAGATGCACTCTCCTGTGTCCAGGGAGGCCCTGCCCTCAGATAGCAGCCCCTGCACACATAAAAGTCTTCATCTGTGGAAATCAAGGCTGAGTGCTGAAAACAGTTATAGCAGAACCATTGTGGTCCCAAAGATAAGAAACTGGGCTAGAGGTAAATCATAAGCAGAACCTTAGAAATAAAGAGAAAAGGTCTCCAGGTTGAGGAAAGGGGCATGGAGCTCTGTGGCCAGCAGGATGTGACTTCCTGGGTTTGTAGCCCCAAAGAAATCTCTGGAAGCAGCACCAGTTCCAAAGGGGGAGCAGAAGAGCTGCTATCCTCAGTCGGGGTCTGAATCAGGGTCCGAGGAGAGCTGCCCTTCCATAGTCTCACACATGGCGTCCTGCAGGGATGTCAGGTGACCCCGGGGACTCATCCCCATGGGCTGGATGACTCTGTCCCTGCAGGGGAAAGATGCAATGGAGCTGGTGAACGGGCCCCATGTGCCAGGCTGGGGTCTTGTTCACCCCTGAATGTTACTTTCCTCTCTACCAAATGGGCTGCTCCATTTATTGGCAAAGCCTATGATACCTTGAAGATATTTTCTTAGTTTCTCTGGGCCTCAATTGTCATCTGTAAAATGGGCATGATATTGACCTCTCACCCTAACCCTTCAGGACACTTCCTCCAGAGCAAGTGATTTCTAACTTCAGTAGTACAGCTTTGCCAGATCCCAAGCCCTCCTCTGATCCCTTGTCTTAGGGCTCATAAGTCAGGATGTGGGTCTGCTCTCCCCTCTAGCTGTAGGCCCCTCCTCACCACACTACACACCTGGAGAGCTTGTCAAACATGTTCACCAGCTTCATGGCCTCGTGCTCCTTCTGCTCCTCCGTCATGCCCTCCATAGGGTTAGGCAGCTTTTCCTCCACCCTCCCGGTCACTGGGTTTATGCTGTTTCCCAGGGGAGGGAGTATGGGGAATGTGTTAGTGACTCTCTAGGACAGGAGGGGCTGCGTGGGGTTGGTAGAATCCCACACCTTCCTGCTCAGGCTTGGATTGGCAAGAAACCTCTTTTCCCAGTGGGGTGGGGTTGGGGTTAGGGGGCAAGTCAACCACAGGAAGAGACCTTCTTCCAGGAGCACCACAGACAACAAGCTCCTACCACCTGACAATACTCTGTACCTCACAGCCTCACCTGGCCACGCTCTGTACCCCACACCCCCCACCTGGCCACACTCTGTACCCCACACCCCCCACCTGGCCACACTCTATACCCCACACGCCCACCTGACCACAGTAGGTACCCCACAGCCCCACCTGACCACACTCTGTACCCTACAGCCCTGGCCTCATTGGTCTCTGTGTTCTCAAAATGACTCCTATTGATGTTAAGATAGACATCACTTAGGAATATGTGCCCGACTCTGGAAGGTCTTATCCATTTGTCATTCTGTCCCACCCACCCCACAAGAGTCCCGATGGGAGTAGGAGCAGGGACTAGGGCACTGTGGAGGAGCCCCAAGTGTTAGGGGCACACACCTGGCCTTGGCTTCTTTGTACTCATCTGTGTCCGTGTCCTCATCCTCTGAGTACTGGCCCTCGGGCCGGACCCCTGACATGAGGCCCCTGGCAGCCAGGAGGCCGGCAGCATTCCCATAACCCGTGTACTTGATGAACCGAGGCACTGAGGGCAGGACAGAGGTCAATATGCACATATGGCCAAGGCAGGGCAGGCTGGGGCCCAGGCCTCCCCCACTCACCACTCTCTGAGCAAAGCACAAACAGGAACTCAGCAGCCACCCTCTTCACATCTGTGTCCAGGTGCGTCATGAGGCGGACAAGCTTGTTTCGAAGTAACTCTCCCACCTCAGGCCGGGTCTTCACATCACGTAGCGGGGGCAGTACCTGGGGAGGCAGCTGTCCTTAAGCCTGGGCTTAGAGCAGCCAGGGTCTGTGACCAGGGCAAAGCCATGTCCCCCAGGAGCACAAACTCTTCTGCCCCATACCTGGGCCTTTAGGAACTTCCTGGCTGGGCGGTGCATGCGGGCACACTCTGTCAGCACGCTCAGCACGGGAGCCACGCTCTCCTTCAGCCTGTGTGTCTGCAAAGGAGCTTCCATCACAGAGTGCACTCCTACCAGACTCAAGGCTGGCAGGGGAGCAGGGCTATGCACATGCTCAAACACACCCTAGGGAGGCCCAGTGGCAGGGATTCGGGAAGAGGCCTCCTGCAGTAAGCCAACAGTCAAAGAGTAGGTGGGAGGTGTCTCTGTCAGCTTTGAAAGGGACGGGGACAGGACCCAACTCAGGAAGTTCTTTGCAAGCTTTGTAACTTGGGGCAAATAACTACTTCAACTTTCTCAACTATAAACCAGGGTTGTGAAAATACAAAGCACCTAAAGCTGTTAGGTCACACTGGCACACATACTGCCCTCAGAAAATGGTGGCAAAAAGTAACAATAGAATCTCTACTCTGTGTAGAGAGCAGGGAATTCCTGTCCCTCCTCACCCTCCCACTTCACTTTCCTGGATCCTAACAGCAGCAGCAGCAATAGGCACAGATGACCACAGTTCGTGTCCAGCACCTGCTCCCCATCCTAACCAGCTCACACACATGGTAAGCATCCCTTAAGCAGTATGGACTCCTGAGAGATCTACCCAATCTCAGTCTGTTGCACTACAGCCTGCCTAGTGTCCACAAGCTCCTGAAAGGTGGTTAGAGTCCCAGCTGTCTGGATGTCCCATGGTACCGTTCAGAGGCTTCTGTGGGTCTCAGGACGCCAAAGGACAGCTGATGCCTGTATCAGGGTCTGCCTGTACACAGTGACACTAAGAGTCCAAGGGTCAAAAGCAGGGATGGGGGCTTCTCAGGACCAAAGGAAAATCCACCAAAAAAGTCTAAAAATATAGCAAGCATGCTGCTAGATTTTGGAAAACTTCTTTCCTTGTAAGTAATCAGCAAAAGTGAACCCTTCAAGTATGTGTGGGCTGTTTACATGCTTCTCAAGGAGGAAGGACCTGGCCAGACCACCAGGTGCTGAAGGAACTGTCCACATCACCCACTTACCAGTGTGGATGGTGCAAAAGCAGTGATCACAGTTGTGCAGGAAAGCCAGGGCCAGAGCCACTAGGGGAGCCTGCACAGTAGCTCCCCAGCCTACCTGGTGCAAACGTTTCTCTAGGAAGTCAAGGAGGACATGAATCACATCCATGTTCACTCCCATGAACTCCAGGGAGCCTTCATGTGGCTCCAGGTTGAGGAGGATGTCCAGACACTTCAGGGGCAAGTTCCCCAAAAGGTTCACTGTGTGGCTGAGGACAGATGGGAGGGGTCTTAACAGGCCCTGCTGAGGCAACAGATTACATGAACCAGCATGTGGGGGTGCTCCAGGAGCAACCCTATGGACTAAAGCCAAGCATGGGGACTGAGTTCAAGGGCCCTGTGAGGAGAAGACAAACTCTGCAGATGCCCTGCCTGCCCTGCCCTTTCTGGGCTGAAGCACCAGATGATCTCTCAAAACCCAGACCAGCACAGGAGCAGGTCACCCATGATCAGGGGCAAGAGATCAAGGTGCCTTATAAATATCACACCACCTGTCGCCATTCCTGAAGGTCCAGGTAGCATATTCCTGCTACAAAATTCATGCCTCTTGTCCTAGCCTGTTAGAGGCACCAGGGACTCTTCTGGAAACACCCTATGTCCAGTCCCGCCCAAAGTCAGGCTCTCTAGGGCAGGGCCTGGGCTCCGAAGTGGTTCTGATCCACAGCCAGGGACTCAAACCACCATCTGGACATCTGGGCATACTTCCCTCCCAGAACACACCCTACTCTCACCCATGGAGCTCTTCTGTACGGTCTCCAGCAGCAACCATCATGCAGTGCCGAAGAAGGGTGCCCAGATACCGGTAAAGGGCAGCATCTTCCTAATCAAAGAAAAGGGTTCCTGTGAGGGTAAGCCCCACTGTCTCTGCACTCCGGGACTGTGTCGCATCAATAATGCATCTTTACTGCACACCTGGCCCCTTGGACTCTTCTAGGTGACTCTGGCCAGCACTAGAGCTAAAGATGACCACTGCTCTTTTCCTACAGACACTGCAAATGTTCTACCAGGAGCACTTCTCTGACCAAGAACATTAATGTATTTCCTTTGAATGAAGGCCCTACACCCACAGCCTAATAAGAAGAATCCTTACTCAGGCAGCATGAGCAGCCCTCCTGTCCAGCCACAGCCAGGCCAGCAAAAGTGAAACCTTCCAGGGTGGATGGTCCACCTCTGTCACAGACCTTCCTTGAGACCCCTTCCTGGAACAGGCGTCTCTTTGGCCTCCTCCCAACAGGCTGAGAGTTCCTTCCTATCCACTCCATGTCTGACACCCAGGAAAGTGAAGGAACCCAGTGGGAGGTGGGTCCAGGAAATACCTAAGCTGAGCTGAGCCCCACCCATGGACTCAGGTCAGCCCTCACCTCATCCACCTCCCTCTTGACAGAGTCGAAGGTGATGTTGAAGAGCACTTTGAGGATCTCCATAGCTTGCTCAGTCTCCTGGGGAGGAAGTAACTTGGGGGGACCCTCTTCAGGAGTCACTCCCAGGGTTAGCTCCAGTGTATCAGTCAGCAAGCGAACTCCATCCAGCTCCTGAAACAGCTGCTGCCGCACATCAGTGCGGAGTGCTGTCAGCAGGAAGAGGAGCCGCAAGTCAAAGAACTGGACGTCATGGGGGAAGCTCCGCTCACGGTACAGCCCCACACGCTCCGCCAGCTTCACCACGAGGCCGGCCTCTGCCGCCCGCAGTTGGGCCACGGGGCTGCTGAGCACGAGGTTACACAGGCACTTAAGGGACTCGAGTACAACATCCATGTCCGGGGGTTCTGGGACCGACTCTTTGGAGGCGCAGATGCAAGCACAGCAGGCCAGTGCCTGAATGCTCTGGTGGCTAGTGAAGGGATCCAGGCAGCTGCGGTCCCGGGACAGGATTCGGACACTCTGAAGCCAGGTGACACGGTGGGAGTGTGGTAAGCCCTGCTCCAGGACCGAGACCAGCAGCTCGGCCAGTCTCTGTGGACAGGGAAAAGAGCAGCTCCACCAGGTCCCTCCTCCCGAGGTCACCGGTCCCCGCCCCTTTCCCCCTTGGGCCAGCACCCACCTTCCGGTCCTCCCGTTGGGCATCGTCGAAAGTGAAGCTGTGGGAATGCTGCAGAAAGACCCAGTGGACGCCGAGTGCACATGGGGTAGGACGCGGATGGGGGCGCCTGTCAGCCTCTAACTCTGCAGCAGCTGCCGCCGCTCAGGACTGATGACCGGCTGTCATCGCCCTACGCACCTGCTGCCGATGGGCGCGCCCCCACTCTTTCCCCGCGACTCGCGCCACCCCGGCTCCCCATGACTACACAACGCCCTGCCGCCCACGCGCGCGTGCACCACTTGGTCCCTCCATGCCGGTCCCACGGCCTTGGGCTGCCGCTCACCTCCCGGTTGTACGTCTGTAAAGCTTCCATGATCACGGCCTCCTCCCCGGTCTCCACAGCTTCCGCGACCGCCCGGGGCTCCATGGCGTCCCCGGGATTGGCGCTTGGAAAGTCCGGCCACGAAGGCCGGAGGTTTCGCTCAGCTGCTTGCCGGCGCCGCCTAGGCCCGGGAAGCTCCGCATAGGCGCGCGGGGGAAGCCGGGAAGGGGCGTGCGGGACGCACAGAAGAGGCCGGAAGGGGCGTATTCACCTTAAGGTGGAGCGTCCCAAGGTGGCGTGGCACGGCGCGGCCACGGCAGCCCCACGTCCGAGACCCGACTCGGTGACTGACCGAGGCGCCCTGAACCGAACAGCGACCCCTCACTTCTCGGCGGAATTTCCAACCCAAGAAAGGCTCAGTCCCCACCTTTCCCCGCGGCACTCTGCAGTCCCTCTGGGATGCAGAGCAAGCCGAAGCCCTGAACCTCTAAGTTGGTTATACGTGCGTCCAGCGCCTACTCCACGCAAGACGCTGGGACGCGGGTCAGCAGCACTCACAAGTCCCTGCCTTCATGGAGCTCGTGTTCCAGAGGGGCAGACAAACGAGACGACTTGAGGCGGTCACAGTCCAAGGGCTGTGAGAAGTGCCGTTTTTATTGAGACAGCTACAGGAAGCAAGCCAGGAAACGATCTGGAGGAAGATCCCCTCCAGGCAGAGAAAGCAGCAAGTGCAAAGGTGGGAACGAACGTAGTGGGCCCAGGAAGGGGGTAAGAGATCAGGACGGAGGCGATGCCAGGTCCAGGTGCCCATCTCAGTGGAGACACGAGGATTAAAGGACACGTCGGAAACGCCCCTTGTGGTGGCCCACCCACCTACTCTTCTGCAAACTCCTGCCGAGCGCCCGCGTAGGGGCCCGGCCCTCCACGGGAGCCCTGGTATGAAGGCTCCCCCTGCTACCCCGTCCCTCCTCTTCCATTTTCCCACAGTTTTCCAGTTTTTCAAGCCGCGCTCACTCGCTACAGATATTGTCCGAGGCCCTGAGCGCCACTTTTCAGGATAATGGACCTTGCCCAGTCGCGCCAGGTCACGGCGCACCACACCCCGGCTGCTCCCCCGGCACAGCCCCACCGGAGAATCCTCCTAACTCCCTTACAGGGAGTCTTCCCAGTACCACAGGCCAAGCGCTAAGATACAGGCTATCCATTGGTCCCAAATCAAACGGCCCCGCCGCATCCTCGGTTTCCGGGTGCGTCACTTCCGCTCCCGCCTATCACCGGCACGGCCACCACGGCCGGAAGTTGAGGGAGCCTGAGGAGGAAGGGGCGTGGTCTGCGTGGGCGGGTCCGGAATCTTTTGCCAGGACCAAGCCGCGTAGGAGGCGTGGTCGTGAGTTAGGGTTGGCTCGAGACGTGATGGCGGACTGGACCCGGGGTGAGCGCGGGGCCTTTGGAGGTTGGGACGGGAACTGGGCGGGCACCGAGCCGCGCCGGGCTGGGGGTCACGAGGGTCCCACCCCACCGCTCCCTTTGAGGTCATTCTGCGTGGAGTCGGGGTGGGCTGGAGCATGGGCCGGGCCTAGGCTAGATGGTTCCCCCGGATCAATCCCTAGTAGAGGCCGCGCGTGGCCCAAGCAGGGCCTATGCTGACCGGGGCCCTGGGCGCCCCCTTTCTTCTCTCGGAGCCGCTATTCTGTGAGTGGGATGTTGATGCCTGTCGCGCAGGGCAGTTGTGGCGATTGAAGGGATTAACGAGCGGGAAGTAGTGACAGGACCGTAGTTCTCTTCTCTTTGAGTATTGTACACGTCAGTGATTCCTAGGACAGCGCCCCCTTCCCCCCATTTGATGGGCCGCATCGACGCTGGTTCTTTCATGCTTTGGGTCAGTGGCGACTTTGTACTCCACGTTGGTGGAGAGGCAGTTCTTACCCACCTGACGTGACAGGAACTCCTCGTCACCTGTCACAGGGTAGGTCTCTGCAAGCCTTGTTCTCTGGGTGTTGCAGGAAGCCCTATGTGAGATGCAGACTGAGGACTGTCTGTGTCGACCTCAGCTCCCGTTTTGGGGAGTTAGGGAGCTTTCATTAGTCATTTTCTCTGTGGCAAAGGGCCTTCCCAATGTCCTGTCCTGGTTACTTGTTGCCTTTACAATGCCTAGTTCAAAGGTCACCTCTGCAGCCCCTCTGGGGTGCTCTTCCTAAGTCTTTCCCAGGTCCTTGAAAGACTTTCCTTTCTCTGAGTTAAGTTCCATGTATGCAAATGTGACATCTGTGATGTCAAGTGTTGCATCTCACCAGCCTGCTAGGGTTTGGTCTAAGATCTGGTACCTTCAGCTTCAGAAAGTGCTGATTGAACTGAACCCAATGCCACTGCCTGTCTCTTCCCAACTAGACATGTATGTAGGACATGTGTTCAAAAACAGGTGCTTACATGTCAGCCTTTATGCAGCCTGTCTCACATGTGCACAGTCTACACGTGGAACTTGAGTTAGGGCTGGACCTACTCAGCAGGTACAAGTGGGCCTGGTCCTGATAGATGTCTGACTCTACCAGTGCCATTGGAATGACAGGGGTCATGCTTGGGTGCATACAGCCCCTTAGCTGCTTCCTCTTAATCACAGGTCAGAGTGCTGATGTGGTGGAAGAGATTCTGGACCAGGAAAACAAGAGGATGTCTGACAGCTTGGCCTCCAAGGTCACCAGGCTCAAATCGGTCAGTGGTGGTCTTCTCCTCTTATTTCTACCTGGTGCTCTTGGGGAGTGGGGAGGAAGGGAGGGTGGAGAGCCTGGGGGAGGTGTTTCAGGCAGTTTTCTGTCCTCCTTGTTCAATTTGTGGGACCTGGACCTTTCTGACCTCTGTTGGTGACACCATGTCTGGCAGAGCTATTAACAAGATCTGGTTAGTCTTGAGGGGAGGGGTGAGTGCTATATTATGTCTGTCGTAGCCCAACCCTGCTTTCTCTGTGTCCTGACCAGCTGGCCCTGGACATCGATAGGGATGCAGAGGACCAAAACCGGTACCTGGATGGGATGGTAAGGGTCTGCAGTGTGTGCAAGTCTGCTGGCTCTGCGCCCACACTACCTGCTATATCTCCTCTCCTTCAGCGTTGGTGCGGGTGGGTGGTCAAGGTCCCACTCCTGTGTGATCCTGCTGGGATTCCTCCTTCAGGATTCGGATTTCACCAGCATGACCAGCCTGCTTACAGGGAGCGTGAAGCGCTTCTCCACCATGGCAAGGTCTGGGCGAGACAACCGGAAGCTTCTGTGTGGTGTGGCTGTGGGCCTAATCGTGGCCTTCTTCATTCTCTCCTACCTTTTGTCAAGGGCAAGGACGTGAGCCAGTGGGAACTGACTTTTGTGGGTGCCAAGGGCAGCCTGGGTCTTCCCTGCCTGTTGTCCTGGGCTCCGGAGGACTTACAACGTATAAGATACTCTTTTGAAATTACAGTCTTGGGTTAGGAATCTTCTTCCTATGTGGCGGGAGGCTGTGGCTGCCTCTGATTGTTGAGCTCATGTTGGCTTGTCCCACATATAGAAGGGACCCTTTCCCTCGGGGAAACCAAGGCCCAGCCCCCATCCCATCCCCAGGTGCTAGAGATATCAGCAGAGTTGGAGCCACAGTATGCCAGGAGGAGCTAGGATTGAGCAGCTATTGAATCTTGAACGTGGTCACCTGTGGCCAGCAACTTTTCTCCCACTTCTTGGAGCACTGACATCTCAAGGTCCCTCTGGGACGTCCTTATCTGAGTGAGGCCGTGTCTGTGATCTGAGGTGTGTGGAGCTGACACAGGAAGGGGCTATGGCTGCAAACCCCAAGAGAATGCCATCTCTTCCAAGGACGTTGGTCCTGGAGATGGCAGTTACTTCTGGCTGAGCTTGCCAAGGACAGGTGTACCAATGTGAGCTAAGAGGTCCTGCTGTGAGTCCTCTGTGCTTGCCCTCCAGTTGTGCAGATGAAGCCAGAGCCCTGGGAAGGATGAAGCTTGTGGATGAAGGCATGGACATAGCCTTGGCTTTAACTATTGGTCCTGGATCCTTCTGGGTCATCTGGCTGTATATCCAGGAGCAGAAACTTAGTTTCTCAGGTTTCAGGATCCACCCAGTACTAACGATGGGTTTCCAGAAGAATAGACCTAGGAATGGGCCTGCATTTCAGAATCAGGCAGAACGTGTGTTGAGGGGCGGGGGGGCTTCTGTGGTTCCAGATAGCAGCTTCCTGGGGAGGACCCATAGGCTGCCTGCTAAGAATTATTGCCATATCAGTACCTCTTGCTCTTCTACCAGGCCTAGCCAGTCTCCCTGGCTGTGATGGAGCCCCATGTACCCTCTTTGTCTCTAGTGTCTACATACTGCCCTCCCCACCCACCTCTTCCTGTGTCTTCACTGCCCACTGGTCCCAGTCCATGTTCACACAAACCAAACCACTGGGCTTGCAGAGCAGCAACTTATTCCCACCTCAAGGAGAGGTTCTAGTGCCCTTGCCTTGGCATAAAAACACCTTTAAAGAAGAAGCTGAGTGGCCCTGTACCATTCTCTGTCCTTGTTCCCATCTTCTACCTCCTGATCACTCCCTTTCAGCTGTCTGCCCACCTGTGTAACTACATTATATGTCTTGACCATGCAGAACTGCCTCTGAGCTCTGGGCTGAGCACAGATGAGCCACATCCTGGCCTCTCTGCCTTGCAGTCCTACCTTGCTCTGACCTGCAGTTCTGGGCACCCTTGCCTCCCTCCACCCTTTCGCACAACAGGACCAGCCTTCCTGTACACGCTTAACATAGCCTCCTTCCTCATCACCTGGCTTTCTGCCATACTGGATGAGCCCCTCAGGCTCCTGGAGGAGGAGGATCCATATGCTTTCTCCTCTTCCCAGTGCGTGTGGGCATTGTACCCTCAAAGGTGGCTCTCCTGCCTCTAGATCTCGGGAACTAAACCCTCTTAGCCATGCTAGTCTGGCTTCTAAGTTGCCTTCTCCTTGGATGTCCCTTTACCTGTCATTCCTGGCATCCTAGTGTCTTTGTGTCATGGTTTGGCTTAGCCTTTGGCTTATAAGGCCTGGTCCCCTCAATACCAAGCTTAGTGGCAGCTGCCTCCATCTTGTCCTCATAGGGTCACTGTAGATGGCACCTCCATACCCCAGTACCATGTTCCCCTGCTGTCTTCTCCTGGGCCATGCATGGCTGACCTATACTTCCCAAAAAGCTGACCTGTGAGAACCAAAGGAGGGCCCCAGGCCCCTTTTGCTGCACCAGCACCCACTCACCTTGCTGATGCAGACTTAGCGTTTAGACTGCTGCTGGGGGCGCCTTTGCTGCAGAAGTGCTTTCCCATCTTGGAGATGTTACGTTGTCCCCTCTGTCTGCACAGTTGTTTACAGTTCTCCAAGGTACTTTGGGGTCTGAGTTATGGTTCCTTACTAGTTTGCTTTTCTATTCCTCCTTTCATTGTGTCAGATCTAACTCTATGGACAAGTGGGGTTTGCTGACTTGACCTCTGACACCAGTAAAGCACAAAGGGGCCTTGGGAGCCCAGTGGAAGGGCTGGGGTTGCCCACTCTGCTAGGTCAGGAGAGACTGCCAGGCTCTGTTTCATAATTCAAGAACAAGATATATTAACAGTAAAAAGTGGAATAAACACAGCTTCATGAAGAAGTAAATCGTGGTCTTTGTCTTCATTTCCTTGAGATTTGAGGGAGTTTTGTCTGGAGCTGCTGGCTATGAGTTCTGGTGCTATAAACCCTAACCCTTTCCCGTCTTCACCCTTGTGGGACTCCTGCATCCCTACTCATTCACCCTTCTAGGGCTGCCTTGGGAAGGGAACAACAGACCCACCACTTCTTCCTGGCCCTTCTCTGCCCAGGTGCCTGAAGCTCCGGTGGGGATGATGAGAGCATTACTGTGTAAGGATTAAATGAGTAAACACAAAGTGCTTAGAATATGCAGCCTGGCATAGTCACAGCCCAGTCAGAGTCAGCAGGTGATAGTCCTGCAGTATGTCTAACAGGGCCATCCGCCCTGAAGTGACCTCCCCTCGAGGCTGAGGTGCAGTCCACAGTCCACTCCTTGAGTCCTGGCCTTGGACTTCTGGGCAGCCTCTGGAAGGCCCAGTCTTTATACCACTTTTCCTGTCCACATTTTCCTGTACTGCCTCAGTCATCTGTTGGTGTGTAGCAGATCACCCTAAAACTTACTAACTTAAAAGAGCAATAATTGGCAGAATTTGAGGCAGGGCAGATCAGGGGTGGCTGTCTTTGCTCCATGATGCTGCAGCCACACTTGGAGATGGGGGTGGGGGGCGGTGGCTGCTGCTGCCACCACCTGAAGTCTCACTCAGGTCAGTGCTGGTGTGAGCAGAGGTCAAAGGGAATAGCTGGGCTGACTACCCTGGTGCTGCACATGGCCTCACCAGGCACAGCTTTCCCACAATTTAGTGGCTGGTGCCATTTGCAAACACAGATGTGGGGGTATTTAGGAAGAAGCTGTTTTCATTGTGTGCTGGGAGTCATGAGTCAGGTGGCACTGCTTCTGTCATACCCCTTTATTCAGCACAGTCACAGGCTCCAGTCCTGACCACAGGGAGGGTCACAGACCCCATCTCTCAGAGGGCAGTGGTGAGCACAAGTGTGGCTGTCTTTGAGGCTCAAGGCAGAAAGCATCAAGAGGACAGGTGAGGGGCAGGGTGTGGAAGGCTCCGGGGCCCTCCCATCTCTCCCTGCACAGAGTCCAGGCCCAAGAAGCTGGGATGGGAGCCTCTGTGGGCTCGTGCTGACAGCCTATGGAGGACATTTCTGGAAAAGACTTTCCCCCAAGATAAACCCTTGCTAAGAGAATCCATGATTTATTAAAAAATCTGGGCATAGCAGGAAACAAGATTAGCAATGGGAAAGTAGCATAGAAAAAATAACTTCACAATGTGCAGACAAGCATGCTCTGTCCCACAAAGGTAGGCTTGCTATAGCCCAGCTGGTGGAGACAGCCTCACCCTGGCAGCCAGTGAATTTCCTGGTGGGAACTTGATTCTCAGAGGCGGGGCTGGTGGTTGCAGTAGGGGCTGGGCTATTCCACATCAACAACCAACGGTGTCATATAGTCAGAATGTTTGATGCCAAAGGTGACGATGGGGGCGCAGGGCTTGGTCAGGGTCACCTGGAAGAGGAGAAGCTGTGAGTGGGACTGGCACCCTGTTCCCACCCTGCTCTTTGCCCTAGCTGGGGCCAGGCTGCTGCCATCCTGAGCTTGGGGCCATGGTGGACATGCACAAAGGCTGTGTTTCAGGACATGCACAGAGTGTGTAGGGCGGGGCCTCTGGCCCCATGTCCCTGAAGGGCTGCCATTGGGGCTAGTACTGGAGATGGACAGGGTCCGGAGGGTTCCGGCCCTTCCCCTCCCCCTCTCCCAGCTATGCACACTCTGGCTGTGTCCACACCTCACCCTCCCAGGGCTGTGGGGGCTGTACCCCCACCTAGGCAGTGTCCCCACTTCAGCCCTTCAGGGCTGTGTCCCCTTCCCTGCTGTGTCCCCACCTCATTCACCCAGGCTGTGTACCCTCCACCACAAGATTGTATCCCCAGTCTGCAAGCTAGGGCCCCGCCTCCTGACCCACTGCTTCTAGGCCATGCTCCCCACCATGCAATTCGCTGTACCCTACCAGGCTATGTCCCCCTCCCACCCCAGGCTGTGCTCTCCCTGTACCTTCTCAGGGCTATGGGCTCCAGGTCCTGGCTTGAGGGTCTTGTCCCCTGGGGGTGCCACCCGGGCAGCCATGGTGTACTGTGGAGCCTTGAACTTGGTCACCTGCACATCAGTCTGACGGTAGGCTGCGGGACCTGGGGTCTGGGAGGCAAAAGAGTTTCAGACAGGATCAGTCTGCTAGGGCCCATGGGCCCAGAGGGCAGGCGATCAGCCACGGACAGTGCCTATGCATCCGTGTCCCCTCTGTCTTCTGTCATGCCATAGGAACCACAACACACACGTCGTCTAACTGCCTTCAGCCTCTCTCTGGCAGTGCCATCCCTCCTGTGAGTGTGTGAGAGGCCCCTTTCCTATGGGATGCTGTCCTGTTGGACTTGAGGGCAGTGGCCTGGGGCTGGTGAGGACAACAGGTCTCAGGCCCATCAGTTTCCTCAGACACGTACCCAGGCCAGACCTTTGCACTGGCTGTTTCCACAGCTGAACCTTCCTCCCCCAAATGACTGAAGGCTTATGTTTCTCCTCTTTTACCTTCCTGCCATGCTGCCCTAAAACTACCTCTCATCCTCCAGACAGCACTTCATAAAACCCTTCTCTCTTTGTCCTTAGCACTGCCCCTGTCTCCTGGGCTGTGGCCTGGGCCTCTTCTTTCTGGTCTACTGCCACACCTCCCACCACTGCAGTGTCACTCAGCATGGGGCAGATCCCCAGATGCAGGTCTGAAGGGCTAAGGGGAGTCAGCAGAGCAGGGCCAAGTGGTGGTCCTGGGTTCTGGAGGCAAGGAGTCTGGTGAGGGGGGCAGTGCTCTGTCCTGGTGTGGCCCTTGCCTTGTGCAGGTCATCGCTGAAGCTGCCCAGCTTGCTGCGGCCCTTGATGGAGAAAGACGGCTGGGAGACCTTGCCGACAGTGTGGGGCCCCATCACGACAGGCAGCATGTATGCAGCGGGGCCTGTGGGGTGGATGAAGAACCTCAGGCCAGAGTGAGCCATCAGGTTCCTTCTCTGGGGTTCTCCATTATGCTGCCATGTCTCACCCACCCCATCTGGGATACCCAAGTCTAGTCAGCTAGAGACTGTCCAGGCTGCCACAAACCTGGGGTGCTGTCCACTCTGAAGGTCTTGGTCCGGGCAGAGATCGAGTGGCTGGGTGCTGAATCGAACACGTGCTTGGTAGATTTCTCAGGAAAGTAGTCACCTAGGGGCAGGAGTGGGGTGGGGGTGGTGCTGGGTCAATGAAGATACCTGGCTCTGTCTAGTGATTCAAGGAAGACTCCTCGATATTCCAGGCATGGAGCCTCTGGTCCCCAACACAGATGGCGACTGGCCTGTTTGGGGATGTCTAGGAGGAAACATTGACTGTGGGCAGGGGGAAAAGGTTTCTGAGTAGGGAGAGTAGGGTTTGATGTGGGTCTGGCCCCTGGACTCAGGAGGAGAAATGTCCAGGTTGGATCTCAGAGGCTTTTCTGCCCAGCTTGGTGGTGCTGCCTCAAGAGTAGATGGGGCAGGAGGCGTGAGGATGGCTAAGCTCTCACACCCGGCCTGCCTCACCTGCAGGAGATTAGGGAAGTACAGCTGCCACCCCACAGGGAGGGGCAGGGCTGAGGGAGGTTAGGGCCTCTGTTCTGAGTAAGGAGCCTGAGGCAGGGTCACTCACCTGGGCCAGGGGTCAGCATGGTCTTAGTGTGGTAGCGCCCCAGGATGGAGAAGGCAGGGCTGAGGTCCTTGCCCGTCCTTAGGACCTTGGGGTTCACACTGTAGCGGGGCCCTGGGGAGCAGTTCTCTGCCAGGAGCATGGGGGCCCCTCGGAAGCTGTAGGCAGGTGCTCGCAGCTTGGTGGGCGTGTGCTTTGTGAATCCTGTGGGCCCAGTGGACTCTGAACAACCTGGACCTAACCTGCCTCCTCCCTGTGGGCATTAGCAAATGTGCCCCAGGCCCCCCAGCTCCTGTAGGCTTCCCTGGGCCCATAATTCCCCAAGGCTCCCCATCCCTACTTCAGGCCTCCCCATCCCTACCTCAGGCCCAGCTCCTGACATCCCAGGCCCTTAGCTCTTACCCGTCGTTGGTGGAATCAGGTACTTGGGTCCAGGACTGCTGTAGAGGGCCATGATGGGCCCCCGGGGGCGATGGGGCCTCCAGGCGCCCACCCATGCCTCCTCTGCCATGGCTAGCTCTGTCCATGGATGATAAGGTGACCAGTTACTGGAAAGCCTCTGTCCTGTTTCATACTGGCTCCCCCATCCCCACCCTACTGCTGCCAACACTGACAGAGCAGACCCACAGCAGTATCCTTTGTGGGTGTCCAACTGGGAGCCAGGAGGTAGGGCAGACCCTGCCATGCACACCAAGAGGGGCTCTCCACTCTGGCCCCAGACTGATACCCCTTATGGCTCTAAGGATCCCCTACCCCGGCAAGGAGCAGGTAGGCCAAGGTGTGGAATTTCTTAATTGAGGCTGTGCTCTGGACCAGGGAGGGCCTTTACCTCTTTGGTGCAGGGGTGGTGCTCAGAGCAGCCTATGGACCCAGCCTCCTCTGGGACAGTCTGTCCCCTGGGCCTCTGTGCCAGGGAGTTGCCGCAAAAGAAACATGGAGAGAAAGGGCTCCCTCTCTCCCTGGGGGCTTCAAGAATTGGGGAGGGGTCCCCACCCCTGAGCTCTAGAATGTGGCTCTGTGGGATGACAGGTTCTAAGATTAGTCTGTGTGATGAAGACAATGGTCTCTGCCCAGGAATCCCCACTCGGTGCCCCTCACCAGGTCCCACCAAGCCCCCTTCACCAGGATCTCTTTACCAGGAACCCCTCACAGGGAGCACACTCACAGGGACCCCCCCACCACCAAGCTGGGGTGGGACAGAAGTGGGGAGGGGAGGAACAGGATAGTGAGGTCACAAGGCCTAGAGTGGGGAGTGGCCAAGGAGTGAAGGTGGTGATTCCACTCAGCTCTGCCCCGAGTAGGGACCATAAAGCTAGGGAAACTGAAGGAAGGTCCTAGTTGTGGGGCATCCTGGGATCTGGACTGGTTGTGGGCAGGAGGTAGCATGGGAGGTGCTACACCCACTCACCTTTCTTAGACTGCTCGCCTGCTGACCCAGCCCACCCTGGGACCCTGGGACCCTGGGTGTCCTGGATATGTGCACTTTCTTCTCCACCCTATCAGGGGTCCTCTTGGGGGTCAGGCTCTTCCAGGCATACTCTTTCTTTGAGTGACTTTGGGAAGAGAAGTTGTTCTCAAATCTGCCCTGGACTTGGTTGTTGGCAGCCTGCATGTCTGGGCATAGGTCTGGGCACAGCTACTGTCTTGGAACACCTGCTCCCAGATGCCAAGCTTCCCACCTGGCCCTGGGGAAGATGGGGCAGGGTGCCGTATGTCCTTGCTCAGCCCACACATTTCCTCTTTCCAGGGCTCTGTGCCCCTCCTGCCTCCCACACTGCCTCTGCAGACCCTCTCCCTCCGGATGCCTCCCATGTCCGTGTGGTGCCTGTGGTCTATGGCATCTACTAGATTTCCACTGTGAGTCTTGCCCACTGTTTGCTGGCTCCTATGTGGATCCCAGGTGTGCTCCCACCCTCATGGGTGGTGCTCACATGCATGCTTCATGAGTGGGACCTGGTGTGCAATACTGTACATGAGAGTGAATGTCTGGTCGTGTCCTTGAGTGTGTTCTTGATGTGAACTTTTCTTGTGTCAGTGGGCAAAAGACAGGAGCCAGACCCTGATCTGCAGAAGGCTTTATTGATTAGACAATTTGAGGGTAAATTTACACATGGGGAAGTAGTAGTGGGGCAGTGTGTTCATGGCTGCTGTGTGGATGGTCCTGTGGCTGCTTGGAGTCACATCTGGGGTCCACTTAGGCACCATCCTCATTGCCCAGAACTTGCACCTGGAAGGCAGACATGTGGGGCAGGAGAGCCATCAGGCAGACGGTCCTGGGCCAGCCTCTGGGGTCCACTGTGAGCATGCACGTGTCTTGTGTCTGTGAGTGTGTGTGTGCAGTGTGTGCTGCATGTCTGCATCTGTGTGTCTGTATCTGTGTGTGTTCACATGTGCAAGGGGGTATCCACAAGCTGGAGGGCAAGCAGGCCTGTGGAGTCTGGGGCTGCTCTGTGGGTGGGAGGTCTGGAGTGTCCACCTCAGTAGTTGAGGCAGATCAGGCATTTGTGAGTGGTAGTCTGGGGACCACACATAGGGTGGGTCTCAGTAGGGCCACAGGTCCTTGGGGAATGGGACCCCCCCGGCCCCCGTACCAGCAGCTTGACCAGCTCCTCCTTGTGCATGGATTGCAGGTTGTCGATGCAGGACTTGAGCTCTGCCAGTGCTGCTTTGGCATCCTCGTTGACATCATACTTGCCCAGGGGCCCCTCATAGAGGTCCTCTGGAGTCCCCACCAGCAGCGTTTGCAAGAATTCCATGAAAAACTCATCGTTGTCCCCCGCTGTCACCAGCCCTGTGTCACGAGTGAGATGATGCTAGGCCAGAGCTCCAGCCTCTGTGGTCTCCCTGTCAACACTCACCTTTCCTCTTCCAGATCTCCCCCCACACATCAGATTCCCACCTGAGACTCCCCTGCAATGACCTCCTGATCTCAACTGCCCCATCTCGAGTCAGGCTCCCTTGGATCCCTGGGTAAGGTGAGTCAAGCCCCTGATGTGAGGCTGGTCTGACCTGGGGCTTAAAGGGCTGGGGTTAGCTGGGCTGGGTGGGGACCTGGGGCTGGCTGGGCTTGCCTGGGGTGGGGGCCAGGGCCAGCAGGGTCCCTGCCCACTTCTGTGATGGGTGGACAGAGTACCCACTGCAGGAGCCTGATGCCAGCATTTTAGCTTCCCACATAACCCAAGCCCCTACTGCAGTATGCTTGAAGCATAGTGTCTGCCACCTGCCCAGTGGCACAGACTCACCACAGACACAGAGCACGGTGAGAGCCGCCAGCAGGAGGGTGCTGCACCCCTTCATGGCTGACAATCTCAGGAGCTGCCTCTGGCTGGGTTCCCAGGGTTTTATGCCTCTGCAGGTGGCACCTTGCTGGGTGGGCAGGCCGGACCTGCCCATCTGGACTTGGCAGCTAGGTCAGGTGAGGCGTGTCCTCAACCCCAGACCCACGCCCCACCCCCGTAGGTGCCAAGCAGCAGCAGCTTGGGAATGGCTGTGTAGGGCTATTGGCGAGTGGTTTTGAGGTGCCCAGGAGTGAAGACAATGTGGGATGAGTGGCTGCAGGAAGGGAGGCCACACAAACTGGCCAGTGAGGGGGTAGTAGGCTGGCCATCAAGGGCTTTGGCCATTCTTGGCCTTGAGGCTGAGGGTGGTGGGTTCTGAGGTCTGGGCCAGGCCTTTCTTTTGGGTTGGGACCCTTCCCTGCTTAATGTACTACATGGCCTTGGTCTGTGTCTGGGGTTCTCCTGTGGGGTGGGGGCTGGGGCCTCCTTACTGGGTAGATGGGAGTGGCAGACAGGAATGGTAATGAGCTGCCCTTGTGGATAGAGCAGGGAGTGTTTCCTGGGTGCTGTGTATCAGGGACTGAGAGGGAGACTCAGAGCCACAGGAATCCTGAGTTTGAGGCGGGGGTCCAGGGGAGAGAAGATGGCTTTAGAGGGCCTGAGGCGGGTGAAACTGGGCTGCCCCTGAGGCCTGGTCATTTCCTGTGAGGCAAGAAATGAGGAAGGGGCTCCAATCTCTATGGCCAGAGCAACCAGGGGAGGGAGAGATAGTCTGGGGTAGGTGGGGACTCTCGAGGCCGACAAACCAAAGCACCCAAGAGAACCTTTGTTGGGTATTGGAGTCAAGCCCGCCTTCTGTAGTCAGCCCCTCTGCCTGTCCCCTGCTGCCACCTGCTGGCTGAGGGTTCTGTGCTCATCTGCCTGTCTGACTTTTCTGTTCCAGCAGAGGGCCCACATTCAGTATTGACTTTTGCCCCTCATGATGCTGTCTGATCAAACCTGGTCCTGTCCAGGCTGGTGACCATGGGTCTGCTTGTCACCTGACCTGAGCATCATCTCCTGCCCTGAGGCAGACCCTTGCTCCACGCCACCCCTCAGGGTCACCAACGACAGTGATTCTTACACACTTGGTTCCCTCTTTATAATGAATCTTCTGTAGCCCCCTTCATTAATATGAAGTTAAATCCGCAGATGGTATTACCCAGTTATAAACATAACTTCAACAATACGGGAAATACATGTGATGAAGTAATCTGCAACAAAACCATCCTTGGAAGCTCAGGGAAATGCTTGACTCATGTGCTCATGCAGTCTCTATGACGTCCCCCTCCTTGAAAACTTTTTTGGGCTCGGCGCCTATAGCTCAACCGGCTAAGGCGCCAGCCACGTACACCTAAGGTGGCAGGTTCGGATCCCCAGCCCGGACCCGCCAAACAACAATGACGGCTGCAACCAAAAAAAAAATAGCCGGGCCTTGTGGCGGGCGCCTGTGGTCCCAGCTACTTGGGAGGCGGAGGCAGGAGACTCGCTTGAGCCCAGGAGTTGGAGGTTGCTGTGAGCTGTAATGCCACGGCACGCTACCCAGGGGGAGAGCTTGAGGCTCTGTCTCAAAAAAAAAAAAAAAAAAACTTTTTTGAGTACTGGCTGCTGGGCTTTGCCTTGTCCTAGACCAACTGAAGCAGGGTCCCTGGTGACAAGGCCTGGGCAGCTGCAGTTCAGAAACTTCCAGAGGGTTCCAATGTATGGAAGTGGCTCTGATGGAGACCAACTTGCCCAGCATTCAGCCCTCCCTCCATGTTTCCTCCACTGAGACTGAGGTCTTCTCACCCAGCCCCTTGGAAGCACTTACTACCTGTTGCCCCTGGAGCCCTTCCTGAGCACTGTCAGCTACAGAGTCTCCATCAATCTGTGGATTTGAGTATCTCAGTTCACTCCTGGTGGATTCACTTCTCACACAGCCCACCCACCTCATGCCCCACATCTTCACTTTCTGGCCCTCCTGCCTCTTGTGATCTTGCCTCCACTGCTTCAGCTAGCCACTTCAAGGTTGTTTTCTAGTTGTTGACAATACCAACAACTGCCCTCTTTTCTAAATTCCATTTCAGGGACCCCTCCCTCTGAGCATCTCAGTGTCCCAGTCCAGCAGTTATTCAGGGAGCATCAAGCCTGAGCAGCCTTCATTGTTTCTTACCCATTCATACCCATCCCAGCTTGCACTTATAGGCTTATTGTCATGAGCTCACACCCTAGTTTGTACTTTCAGCCTTAATCTCCTGCCCCCTCCTCCTACTTCCCCTGACAAAACCTCAACATCAGATAAATCCACCTTGGCCTACTGGGCAGAATGCATCTGGGAAACTGCATGGACAGACCTCACTTGAAGACCATTGCCTAGGTCCTTAGGTGCTTCTATGAGTTCTTCCAGAACTAGGATGTTCTCATACCTGTGGAGATGGCTACTTCTTACACTACCCCTTCCATCTTACTTTCTGTGCCTTTGCTCTTATGTCACTGAGAAACGGAAGTAACCAGAAGAAAAACTACATACCCATCACCAAGTCTGCCAGCTTTGCCTTTATTTTTGGGTTTGTGTTTCCTTATGTTATAAGGGATGAAATGCATGTCTCCATTCATATCCTCTTGTCACAATGAGTTCTTTGTTTCATCCTTCTGCAATACCAACATTTCCATCTCTACTGGATCACTGTTATCAGCATATACTTAATGCTATAACATCACCCAACTTCAAGCAAAACAGACAACCCTCCCTCAGTGCAGGTACTAACTCTCCCTTGGCTCTTCTATGCCCACCTTCTGTGTTGACTTGCCCCCAGAAACACTGGGGCTTTCTGTTTTCAGGTTGGATTTGGCAAATAGAAAGTACCAGAAGGAGGTCAGAGGGAGGGAAAAATGGATTCTGGACCCATTAAATTTCTATGCACAGATATTCTGCATGCATAGAAATGTAAATTGTCACAGTTGCATATGGTTCAGAGCATCATTGGCAATGAGGTAAAAAATATATTTCTTCTTTCACATCACCACCATTTCAAATTATATATATGCTGAAAGAATTGCCATGTTACTAACAACTATGCATTCATCAAGTTGCAATAAAAAATACTTTGCTACTTTTATTTGTTCTGTAAGTTGGTCTTCTATTTCATTAGCCAGTTCCTTGCTATACTGAACTGTATTGTCTTTGGAAAGTGGTGTCTAAACTTCTTTATTCCTTTATTTCTTTTTTTCTTTTTTTAGATAGGGTCTTACTCTTTCACTCAGGATAGACAGCATTAGCATACCACAAATTCTGGGGCTCAGGCAGTACTCCTGCCTTAGGCTCCCAAGTAGCTGGGACAATAAGTGCCTGCCAAGATATCTGACTAATTTTTATATTTTTAGCAGAGAGGGCGTCTGGCTCTTGCTCAGGCTGACCTTGAACTGCTGAGCTCAAGTAACCCTCCTTCAGCCTCCTAGAGTGCTGGGATTGCAGGTGTGAGCCTCCACTCTCGGTCCTGAGCTACTTACTAGATTTACCCAATAATTTCAACCAGTGACTTTGATGCTTCAAGGCGTTGATGCAGTTTTCTACAAATATCTCAGTGATTATATGCTGTTGTTTGGTCTTAGCAAGCCAAAACACTACTTTATAAAAAGCTTGCAAAACAGTAATGTGTATATGTGATATACTGTAAATCTGTATCTGTCAGCTTTTTAACTTGATACTCTTTCTTTCAAAGAACTCATTTCATGTATAGCCTGGCAGACACTAGAGGGATCAGAAAGAAGCTACATTCCCAAATGTCATTATTTGACCTGTCTGGTGGCTGGAAGACCCCACAAACAAGGCTGTTTGTATTTGGAATGACTCAGGACCAGTATGGAAAACTTCCTATCTGTGTGAGCAGAGGATGCATTCATTGAAAACAATTACAAGGCTCGGTGCCTGTGGCTCAAGTGGTTAAGGCACCAGCCACATACACCTAAGGTGGCAAGTTCGAATCCAGCCTGGGCCCACCAAACAACAATGATGGCTGCAACCAAAAAATGGCCGGGCATTGTGGCAGGCGCCTGTGGTCCCAGCTACTTGGGAGGCTGAGGCAGGAGACT